TTGTTTTATAGTGTATAGTTGATGCTGGGTAATATCTGAACTTAATGGCGTAAAGCAAGTATTATAATGATAATTAATTTTGGCCTAAGTATCAATGATACGAATTACCATGTTGTATACTGGTTTTATACTTTATTATTTCGTATGCCATCACCAAAGACACTGTGCAACCTTATGTTAATGTTATTTATTATATAGATAACATCACTGTGCAGCGTTCTGTCATGTAGGCTTATGTTTATGGATTCAAATGTTGAGATATCCATCGGTGAGTAGTTTTGACTCCCCAACTGTCAGAGACCCGACACGCCTCAGGCGAGCCCACTCGCTGCCACTACTTCTGGTTTGTCGTTTATCTTGGTCACATATAAAATATTTATCAATGCACTTCATACTAAATCCTTTATCTTTTGTAAATTGATGCTACACAAGCTGTGGGTGTTATAATTCGTCTGTTACACCGGCGATGTCTGTTCCTGCTAGTCGAGTCGAGACTTTAACAAAACCAGGCTATAGGATATGGGAATTTCAGAAACCATGATGGTTGTGACTCTTATGTTAGGATTTAGGCCTAGGGCCATGTATTGGAACTGGGAAGGTTATTGAGCGCCATGCATTGTATTATTTAACTGGGTATGTCGTGCGTTATCTTCATTGTTAGCATGGTGGCGCTGCCATCTGGTGACGATGGCAACTGTAGTCAAGAGGAGTGTGCGAGTGTTCATGTGCTTACCACGAGCGAGTAATATAAGATAAAATTTTAGCCTTCATATTCTCTTTAGGGTCTTTGAGCTGTTAGAATACCATTAAACGTCTTACCTTTGAACGTGACGGGTTGGGTAGTTGTTCTTGACGATGGTTGAAGGTGACTCAGGTTCTTACAAACCCTAGGTTGAACTTCAGATATTCTTGTAAATAACTCTGCAGGCTGCCTTCTCCAACTTCCACCTTGAGTGGTTTCCAGTGGTTCTCGTCGAGTCCAGAGCAGTTTGAACGTCAGTATAATAAAGCACATGTGATGACTGCTAGTCTGTGTGAACTGCACTATGAAGTAAGTAATTATCAAACGAAAGTACCACGCCGGGAAGACTATGTAGGCTGTACTGTGCAAAGAGGGCGGGAAAATTTCACTCCATCAAAGGCGTACAATAAAGACTATGTTATACCACAATTATGTTTAGTAATATGCCGTAGTTAAACAATAACTTCAATCAGTAATTATGTTTGAGAGAGAAATGTTAATTACTTCTGTTAATTAATATAGTATCACAGCTGTGGAGCCTATCGGTCACCAGGGGGTGGCCATATTTCTATCTCGGCTTACAATACTGCATTTATTTTATCCCCAGACCCAAGCGGAGTCAGAATGACCTTATTTAAATCGTGAATTTAAATGTGCAACTGCAGAAAGTGAGGAACATTTACCCGCAAGTATAAAGAAGAAAATATAATTTACTTGTGATAACTTGCCAATACTAATAAAAGGTTGGATGAAGGCTTAAGTGTCTAGTATTAATCCTTTGCTTGCAGCTTGCTTGCCTGTGGGAAGGAATGCAGTACAAACACCTGTGGTGTTTTCTTTATAAACCTAATCAGTTTTGGTCATGTTTTGACTATTTCAAAGACTGATACTTAATGCTAACTTTCTTCAGATGAGGTCCACTATTTCAACGTCAAAATCTTGTGTCAGTATGTTATAATCTGTTCAAGGGGAAATTCTCATCGGGTCACACCAATGAAGATGGAAACTCACTAATTTTTAAGCAATTGACGATGTACTGCATAACAAAAACTTGCTTCATTCTTAAGCGGGTGGAGACTACGAGCAACACCTCGCCTTGCTCTCCCCTAAATGTCGCTGACTCCACCACATTCCTCTCTAACTCGCTTAGCATTCACAAGACCAATAGGCAGTTTTTGTCTCTGTTTTCTTTTTGCATAGCATTGAGATGCGTCATTTAAGAGTATGTAGCCAGCTAGAAAGGTTACCAGTTTGTTTGGTGACGTGGTAAACACAACCCTGGAGCCAGCACCATGATGAGGCAAGACTGGCGAGGTAATGTTCCCACAGAAGAAAAACCACATTAAAGCCAATAGCGCAGCGGACCTTATACCACCTTGGCGCGGGTCACCAGGTCAACATGAAGAGCATCAGGAATGTGGTTACACTACTCGGCTGCAAGTGAACCCTTCCTGGTGATCGACTTCCCACCATCGTCCTGGCTGTGGTGAAAGTTGGTGTGAGAGGGCGTTACCCATCAGGAAGGTCATGACTTGCAACACCCACAGTCGGCCAGAGCTCCAGCTACGAACCTCAGCCGCCCCTGGCAAAGGTACCACAGGCTCTGCCTTACCACCCTTCACAGGTGTCACTCGGGCAGCAAGACGACCAGCGGTCTGACTCGAAAAACATGAACATGGAGGCGGCACTACAATACCAACTGGTGTTCCCCGTCACTGTGGACTAGTCAATGTCATTTTAAAACTGCTGACAAAAACTGTCAGCTACTATACATTTTAGATATCTGAACTTGTTTCCAGTCACATATATCTTACACTTGCTGATTCTTGTGCTGGGTTATCAGCTACCAGTAACTTTCATTTTATTAGTGAACTATGCATCGTGGAGCAGCGGACCTACCCATTAGTAAACACTTAGTTATCAGCTGGTGAATGAGGTAACGTCAGCTAGTGTTGTTGACTGGTGAACAGCAGACACCACCAGCCGTCACACTCTCTACACCAAGCACTCACTGAACTATATGTTTAACAGGGGCCAGATTCACGAAAACACTTACGCAAGTACTTACGAACGTGTACATCTTTCCTCAATCTTTGACGGCTTTGGTTATATTTATTAAACAGTTTACAAGCATGAAAACTTCCCATTCAACTGTTGTTTTTGTTATAAACAGCCTCCTGGTGCTTCCGAGCTCATTAACTGATAAATAATTGGAAACAAAGCCACCAAAGATTGAGAAAAGATGTACAGGTTCGTAAGTGTTTGCGTAAGTGCTTTCGTGAATCTGGCCCCAGGTCTCTAACCCTGTCCACGGAGGACAGAAATGTATATATGCTGGTTAGCATTGTAAATGTGTGGTCACGCCTGTGGCATAAAATAATAAATAAAGAGAAACGCCAAGCACTTCTCTTACCAAACAACTCTTCACTCATAGACAACCATCGGAAAAATTCCAGGAAAACTTAGACTTAAAGAAAAATGTCCTCTATAAATATAAGGATGTTCATAAGGACGTGACTGGCTTCATTCATTAACCAGTAGAGTTGTATAAGCACATGTTGGCCGTAGTCGTGCAAGGGAAGACGTGTTATTGATTATAACACCAGTCTTTATGATTTTGATGTTCTTGAACTGGGAAAAAAAGTTGAACAACTAACGATAACAAAATCATCTTGGAGCTATATGTGTAGTTGACACCATTTAAGACGTGAATTACAGTCTGGGCAGAAGGTTGAAATGTTAACGTAAGAATTCAACGCTAAACATGCCCCCGGCATCACGACATATTTACATAGTATATAATATGGCTCCACGACAAATGTATTCCAAATACTATATTTTAAACTGTCCTTGTTAAAAATATAAATAAACATAATTGCAAAACTGTCTCCATATCGCTGGCAACCAATATTATTGGGATTGTCTCCTGTCACCTGTGTACATGTTGGCCTATCCTGAAGCAGTTTTGCTTATAAGATGAATTGTAAAAGTTCTAATTCTTGCCACCAGGGGGGCAACATAGCCTGGTAAGACATGCGATCTTCTTTGCGCCACCAAACACATTTTAAAAGTTTCAAGCCGATATATGAAAGGGTTCATCACATATTACAATGACACATAAAATTACAGAAAAATACAAAGTAGTTTTGCTCCCTTATACAGGGAGCAATATCTAGTCTTATGGTCTCCTGCCCTACACACGAAGCATTAGCTAGTCCAGTGGTCTCCTGCCACACACACACGGAGCATTAGCTAGTCCAGTGGTCTCCTGCCCCACACACACGGAGCATTAGCTAGTCCAGTGGTCTCCTGCCCTACACACGAAGCATTAGCTAGTCCAGTGGTCTCCTGCCACACACACACGGAGCATTAGCTAGTCCAGTGGTCTCCTGCCACACACACACGGAGCATTAGCTAGTCCAGTGGTCTCCTGCCCCACACACACGGAGCATTAGCTAGTCTAGTGGTCTCCTGCCACACACACACGGAGCATTAGCTAGTCCAGTGGTCTCCTGCCACACACACACGGAGCATTAGCTAGTCCAGTGGTCTCCTGCCACACACACACGGAGCATTAGCTAGTCCAGTGGTCCTGAAACTTGGGGGCGGAAGCTGCGACAATCGATAAGGAGTGTAGTAAGAAAAGAGTCACGTGACCACCCGAGGAAGTTTGGGGGCTGCGGGTGCATTCCGTCCCCACCCGGAGGCTGGGACTCTTGTGTTTGGTGTGTGGAGTGTGTGTGTGTGGTGTTGTGTGTGTGGTGTTGTGTGTGTGTAGTGTTGCGTGTGTGTGGTGTTGCGTGAGTGTGGTGTTGGTGTGTGTGGTGTGTGTGTGGTGTTGGTGTGTGTGGTGTTGTGTGTGTGTGGTGTTGCGTGTGTGTGGTGTTGGTGTGTGTGTGGTGTGTGTGTGGTGTTGGTGTTGTGTGTGTTGTGTGTGTGTGGTGTTGTGTGTGTGGTGTTGTGTGTGTGTGGTGTTGTGTGTGTGGTGTGTGTGCTGTTGTGTAGTTTGCCAGCTTCCCATATACTGTTGATGTCATCTTCTTTATATATCAGTAACATATTGGAAAACTGGCTTAGCTCCACACATACACAATTAGCTACACTGCAACTTGTCACTAATTCATTGAAAGATACAGAAGTAACTTTCTGTGATTCAAAGCAAGCCTCCTTCACTTCCGAAATTTTCAGCTGTCATTTAAACCTTCAAATTAAAACTCGACACACCAAATCTAGGAAAACAATATTAACAATTCCTGCAGTCCTGGTAAACTTTTAATAATAGGTTTTAGAATTTGAGCCAAGGTTCTCTAATGATACATGAAACTTGTGGAATAATGAATTTCGGGGCAGCAACAATGTTTACAAGATGGTGAAAATCAGTCGACGTTAAAATTGTTGTTCCCACTCCTGACTTCATTTTGATGTGAGGCTTTAATAGTTGCTGATAACAGAGTAATGATATGCTAATTAATAAATTAAAATAAAACTGTAAACTACTGCTTACTTATTAATATACTACTCAATTTCTTTTGCATAACAACAAATTGTCACGATGACAAGCTTGTAATTAGTCACATATGAGTAATAATCACCATGCATAAGTAAACCTCCTTATAAAATATGGTACAGTATTTAGTTGTAAAAACTGAGATTATGATTGACAAAAGAATTCTTAAAAATCCACTGTGGGACCTTACAACAAATCTTGGGACTAATGAAAAGGTTCACTCCACTACCAACAGACCAATCAACTGGCCCCACACACACCTCATAAAAATTTCACGTGAAGCCTCTGCTGGAAAGTCTTGGTTGAACAATGCAAACGTAATTCATTTCATTTGTTTTATTTCGGCAATAATTTTATTGTGGTTAGGTTGTATTATGGCAGCATTCACACTAGCCTAGCCTTATTTTGAATCTCGTTTTCCGCTAGGGATTTCCTGACCATTAAAAACTTTTGTCTTTCAATCACTTTTATATATCGTTAAAACTTATATTTGAATCACTGTTATATATCGTTAAAACTTATATTTGAATCACTGTTATATCCCGTTAAAACTTATATTTGAATCACTGTTATATCCCGTTAAAACTTTTATTTGAATCACTGTTATATCTCGTTAAAACTTTTATTTGAATCACTGTTATATCTCGTTAAAACTTTTATTTGAATCACTGTTATATCTCGTTAAAAACTTATATTTAAATAACTGTCCTCAATATCTCTTAGAACCGGAAATCAAGACAAATATTGCCCTCTATCACTCTCAAATAATCAATTATGGAACACTAAAATCAAAACAATTGCTTCGAACCACCAGCGCCGTCATTAAGAGCACCCTGACAAGTTTGATACTCACCATAATTATTCCGGGCTACGTCACCGTCACCTACACTCACAGTCAACACTATCGTCACTATCATCGTCTATGTATTCAGTTTCATTTTCTTCTTGTCGGCCTCCGCTTTCTGCTCGTCATCACTGATATCATGACCGCCATACCCTGTCGTGGCGCCCTCACCCTCAGCTCTGTCACTCTGACTCTCACTTGTGCGGGTGACTCCTGTGTCGTCCTCTTTACTGTCCCCCGAGTGCCCACACTTTTTAGGCGACCCTTCGCCTTCATCATCAACGGTATCAGTCTCTCCAGCTTTGGCGAAAATGAAGTAATCGCACACATCGTCTCCATCATTGGTGCCAGTGTCACCATCATTGGCGCCAGTGTCACCTTCACTAGCGCCAGCGTCACCACCATTGGCGCCAGCGTCACCATCATCGGTGCCAGCGGCCCCATCATCGCCGCCGGTGTCGCCGTCATTTGCGGGAGCGTTTTCGCCATCTTTGGCGAAAACTAAATAATCATCACCACCGTCTTCGACATCGTCGGCACGCGGCGCGGCGTCCAGACGCTGCCTCAGGAACTTGAAGATGCTACCGAAACTGGCCCAAGATGTCATCTCGTGTATGGTCACACCTGCAAGAGAGAGAAACGCAGAACTTACAGCAGCTGTGTCCAGTCACCCAGCGTGTGTTATCAGCACTGGCCGAAAGGTGCCTACTTCTGTCAGTTAAAACAATGGAAGACTCGTGCTGTAATATCGTCTCATGAAGATGGCAAAGCTGTCTCCATTGTTACATGACGAAATGCAAGCACACAGTTAAAGCACACACTCATTTCCGGAGGAAAGATATGAAAGCAGCACTAACACACGCTGGTAGTGCGCGTTAGTGCTGTTCTTTGTAGCATAGTATCTCTCTCTGACAACTAATTCATCCCAGCTCCCACACCTCTCCATCCTAGCCCCTTACCTCTCCATCCCAGCTCCCACACCTCTCCATCCTAGCCCCATACCTCTCCATCCCAGCTCCCACACCTCTCCATCCTTGCCCCACACCTCTCCATCCTAGCCCCATACCTCTCCATCCCAGCTCCCACACCTCTCCATCCTAGCCCCATACCTCTCCATCCCAGCTCCCACACCTCTCCATCCTAGCCCCATACCTCTCCATCCCAGCTCCCACACCTCTCCATCCTTGCCCCACACCTCTCCATCCTAGCCCCATACCTCTCCATCCCAGCTCCCACACCTCTCCATCCTAGCCCCATACCTCTCCATCCCAGCTCCCACACCTCTCCATCCTAGCCCCATACCTCTCCATCCCAGCTCCCACACCTCTCCATCCCTGCCCCACACCTCTCCATCCCATCCCCCAAGCAGCGGCTTTTATTGGTAAACGGGATCTGTACCCAAGGTACAGATCCTTGTGCAATATGATTTCTTTGTGCGTTTGAAGAAAAGAAGCGTTGGAGGCAGAATTCCTAGATTACACACCAGTGTATGGGGGGGGGACTATTGTGAATCTTCGAGCAGGCTTCAGTGCAAGTCTCAGGAACCCTAGAGGATTCAGTCGAATCCCAGGTTGCATTGCTTTTGCCATGTCGTGGAGTAGTGGTCTAAGGCGTTTGCTTGGGAGTACCCAAGAGCATAGCTTCGAATCCTCCTTATGGCTGGGTTCTACTGATTTTCGCACAGCGGAAATTTGTAAGATTAGGATTAGCGTGAGAACTCATGAAAGCCTGGACACAAGATGGAGACACAAGCTGGGATGACACTGAACTGGGTACTGGAGTACCTGAAGGACGGAAGACAGTGGGTCACAGCCATAGAGAAGGTATCGAGCTGGAGGGATGTGACAAGTGGTTCCCCCGAGGCTCAGTTTTCGGACCAGGAGTGTGATAAGGAATGTAAAAACCGAGGGTTACTAGAATTCAATTCCAACATGTGCAAGGTAATGAAGATGGGAAAATAAGAAAGGCCACCAAGAGATATCTACACCATAAGGGAAAGGCAGCAACGGGAATCGGAAACAAAATAATGGGAGTGGATATAATTGTCAACATTAACTTCAGCGGCACACACAAACAGAACAACAGTGGCAGTATATGGAAAGCTGGCAAACATTACGACGATATATAAAACCAAAATATGAACTCTTTAAAAACAATCTAAACAACCTATGTTAGACAGATACTGCCATATGCAGCACCATCCTAGAATCCGTATATTGTGAAACACAAAACAAATATTGACAAAGTGCAGAAGTTTGCAACAAAATTAGTGTTCGAACTAATAGTTAAGCTACGACGATAGGTTAAAGGAATTATATCTCATAACTCATAGATCAGAGACGAAACAGAGGGGACACGATCACAACATACAAGATACTGAGGAAAATAAACAAGGTGGACAAGGATAACTTCTTTAAATTGAGAGAAAGTAGAACAAGAGAACATTGGTAGAAATTGGAAAACGCAAATGAGTGGCAGACACATAAGGAAATACTCGTCCCCCTGTACGGCCGCTCAACACGGAGAACACACTGACACAAGTTCTGGAAGCCACCTCCAGTAACGCGCCTCTTAAGGCCAGACTCGACAAAGATTATGAACGTCGGATACTTTAAATTATAAGGCAACAGGTACGAGAAAGCGAGCTGGTGGGACATAAAGAACCAGACCTCACTTCCTCCTAGTCTCTGGTAGATAAGTAGTGATAGGTAAGCAGGAGGAAGCTAAGAAAGGCAAGAGACGGACGAGGAAGAGAAGGAGGAACAATTTTTGTTATAGCGGGTAGTTAAAGGGTCACTCCCAGACAAAAGAACGACGCGTGTCGGGGTGGCCAAATATTGGTCCTGCAAATACTGGACATGAGGTGCGAATTTGAACATGCACACAGAGAGAATGACAAAGAGAGAGATGAAAGAGCGAGAGAAAGATGAGAGGAGAGAAAATGAGAGAGGAAACGGAGTAGAGAGGAGAGGGGGGAGGGGTAGAAAGGAAAGAGAGAAGAGGGAGGAGAAAGGAAAAAGAGAGGTAGGCGGAGAAAGGAAAGAGAGGAGAGGAGAGAGAGGAAAGGTGAGAGAAGAGAAAGGAGAAAGTGGGAGAGAGAGAGAGAGAGAGAGAGAGAGAGAGAGAGAGAGAGAGAGAGAGAGAGAGAGAGAGAGAGAGAGAGAGAGAGAGAGAGAGAGAGAGAGAGAGAGATATCCTAACGTATGCCCCAAGTACATTCTAGAATAGGGACTCAGGTTTCAACTTAGCTTAGGTGGGATTACACCTGTTACTTGCAGTTTCACCAGGGGTTCCTTACATGATAAGGAAACAATGTGGCAGTTTCAAAAGTACATTTTCAAGAAATAAATGAGTTTCTAGGAGCAGGCTTCAGATGAGCTGAGGCAGGATAACAGCTCTTGTTTTCAGTTTCACTAGGTACGTCATTTGACAGCCCTTATGAACCCCTAGTCTTAGTTTATTTATATATACAAAAAACCATGAGGTACAAGGCGAGCCTTGTGAGCGACCAGCAGACTTCAGTAGACAGCAGTAGGTGTGCGGGGTGAGGTACAGTGAGGGAGGTGTGCGGGGTGAGGTACAGTGAGGGAGGTGTGCGGGGTGAGGTGTGCGGGGTGAGGTACAGTGAGGGAGGAGGAGGTGTGCGGGGTGAGGTACAGTGAGGGAGGTGTGCGGGGTGAGGTGTGCGGGGTGAGGTACAGTGAGGGAGGAGGAGGTGTGCGGGGTGAGGTACAGTGAGGGAGGAGGTGTGCGGGGTGAGGTACAGTGAGGGAGGAGGAGGTGTGCGGGGTGAGGTACAGTGAGGGAGGAGGTGTGCGGGGTGAGGTACAGTGAGGGAGGAGGAGGTGTGCGGGGTGAGGTACAGTGAGGGAGGAGGAGGTGTGCGGGGTGAGGTACAGTGAGGGAGGAGGAGGTGTGCGGGGGTGAGGTACAGTGAGGGAGGAGGAGGTGTGCGGGGGTGAGGTACAGTGAGGGAGGGAGGTGTGCGGGGTGAGGTACAGTGAGGGAGGAGGTGTGCGGGGTGAGGTACAGTGAGGGAGGAGGAGGTGTGCGGGGTGAGGTACAGTGAGGGAGGGAGGTGTGCGGGGGTGAGGTACAGTGAGGGAGGGAGGTGTGCGGGGTGAGGTACAGTGAGGGAGGGAGGTGTGCGGGGTGAGGTACAGTGAGGGAGGGAGGTGTGCGGGGGTGAGGTACAGTGAGGGAAGAGAGAGCAGCGTGGACTTGACAAGTGTGAACAAGTACCAACAAAGATGGCCCGGAGGTCAGCGAGTACCGACAGTCACACAAGGTAAACAGTCTCCGCCGTTGACTTAGCCTGACATTCTGGAAGTCTGTACACACTGGTATACTTCGCACCTGACGGCGTATTGACACATTTACGCTCACACTGACACGTGTACACACACACACGTGCATACATACACACAGACTTGTATATTCATGCACTCATACCTACACACAGATACGCCCTCCACGCCACAGCAGGGAATCGCCTGCTGTACTGGGAACACAAGACAGAAGAATGGTTATACGGAAGCCTCACAGAAGAAAGATGTCACTCGTTGTGTTGAACCACGACACAAGAAGCACCCACTCTTTGAGTTGCATCTCTACAACACCGTGGCATTATCTTGCGTGTATGTAACCTTCAAAACAACACAGAGCCATTTATACTGTGGTGGGAGCAACACAGGAGTAAGGGAAGGTGTGTTGAGCCACAACACAGCAACGTGGCGCTGAGCCATAACCTAGAGAGCCATTGGCTGTTGGACTGAGCCACGACAGAGGCAGTAATGAGGCAGTGAGCCTTGGCCGGTAATCCTCCACTAATCTGTTAATCCCCAACAGCGTGACCGCCCGCGCCGCCCCGCACCGCGCCTGGCTCCGCTGATAGTGAGGGGGGGGGGGGGGGGGGCTCACTCCCCCGCCTCACCACCCAGACAATGACAGGTTGCACCCCCCCCCCCCCACACACCTCTGCAGCTTGTAACTGCAAGTTACAACTTTCGGCAACTTTGAATAATAACCTTAAACTTGACCCTGTGGGCGCATGCGTGTGGATGCATGCAAGCATCCTCACGCATGCAAACCCGTCCTCTCCCACAGGACGTCTCATTTTGTACGTCAGGGTCACCAATATACAGATTATAAAAGTATCGCCTCAAAAAATCCACGTTTTCTATACATCAATTGGATAGGTTAAGTGGGTGTCTTTGGCTTTGGTAAGTTGTATTCACCTAGTTGTGCTTGCGGGGGTTGAGCTCTGCTCTTTCGGCCCGCCTCTCAACTGTCCATTAATCAACTGTTACTAACTACTTACTATTTTCTTGTTTTTGTCTTTTCACACACACACACAAACACACCCAGGAAGCTGCCCGTAACAGCTGACTAACTCCCAGGTACCTATTTACTGCTTGGTAACAGGGGCATCAGGGTGGGAAGAAACTCTGCCTATTTGTCTCTGCCGGCGCCGGGAATCGAACCCGGGCCACAGGATTACGCAGCCCGTCCTCCAAACAAAGATCCAAAAGTGATTCCATGCACCCGCCATACCCCCTGTTTATGAATGAAAAGCGGTTTACACACGACTCACAACTGCTGACGTTCGAACATATCCGGAACAA